ATAAGGCCAAGATATAATGGGGCCTGTGCCTAATTTTCACTCTCTTAGCAGCTGTCGCCTTATGCTGGGATTCTAAAATTATACTACAGAGCTATGGTGACTTGTTTTTCTTCTCCCATTTATTAAAAAAAGAACAGAACAAAAACTGCAGTTGATAGATGTGCTATTAAGAACTGGCACTACACACTGCAGAGTTTTGGGCACTAGGTGAGGCTTTCTGTGGCTGCAAGTCAATCTCAGCTCAGGTCATTACCACGGCCAGAGTGAAAAATTTTGCCAATGACTACATTAGCAACTCCCCCAAACTTCTGTCACCAGGTGTGAGATGGATGCTGACCCTTCAGAGTGGGTTCAGCAAAACCAGAAATGAGATGCTTGGAACAGCTCACTGAGCACAGATGCGGGGCTCAAAGAATTCATAAAATGAGCAATGCAGCACTGCATCCCCCTGGGAGGGACTCTGACACTTCCACGCCTCCAAGGTACATTGGTCTCCTCTGGGACCAAGAGCAAAGTTTCCAATGCTGGAATCCCACCCCAGAGCAGCATTTCCTGAAAGTGAGTTTTTGATAATTAAGTTCTTAATTCTTGATTTCTCACTTGAATGAGAATTCTCAGAAAATAGGTCAGATTTAGAAGGACACCTATTTATCCACATTTTGAGATATTTAAACACCCCAAAGTACTAGTACTTCATTTTTGTAAAAGTTGTAGGGCACTCTTAGGTGATCCATGGGCATGGATACATGCAATTGTGAGCAGTCACATGTGACGCAGGTGTAGGACCATTTCATGACCACCCCTGGAAACACTCAAGTGAAAGTCACTGATTCATATGGCCTCTGGGCCCCGGTGTCTAGCGGTTCATCAGGAACAGCTCTCCCTCTTGGCCTGGGGAAGCTGAAGGAACATTTCATCCCCCTGAGAGGATATCGTGTTATCTATATTGCCTCTGTTTCTGGAAGAGAGTGGAAACCTGGAGCTTTGCCATGAGCATGGCTCTGTCCCCTGAGGAACCCCTCTGCACTCCTGGCTTTCGTGGGGCTGAACTCCCACAGGGGGCTGTTGATTTTCTGCCCCTGCTGTTCAGGTTGGGGCCCATCTCAACAGTGTGTGGTCTTGGAAGTGGAAGCACATGGGGGAACATTTACTTTGCTAGGATTAAAGAAACTGACTTAAGGACTTAAAAGGAGTCTTAGACATTTAAGCCAGTGTGTTTCTACCACCTCCCTTGGAGACAGAGCTTCATCTTAAAGATGACTTTTTCTGACACCGTCTGAGATGGCCCTGCTTCTACTTACGATTATAGTGTGGAGACAGGAGCACAAAAGTTAAGAACAAGAGCTTTGGGGTCAGACACACCTGGATTCTGGCTCTGTTATTTAAGAAAGGAAGCCTCAGATAAAAACAGTCCTTGTCTCCTAGAGTTCCTACATGTCTTAAATGAGTTCATGTATCTTGAGTGATTGGCACTGGGTACATGCTCAAGTACGCCTGGCTCAGCAGAGGTGTGCTGGGGCTGACTTGAACTGGCTTATACTGGGTGATTATACCTCTCTTTCCTCAGATTCATGGACCTCATATTTGGTAGCTTGAGCAATACAATGGTAGGTACATTTACACCAAAGAAATCCACAAACTCCTACAATTGGGGCCCTCCCCACTCAGAAGTCAGTTTCCAGTGCGTCACTGGTTTTTGAAAGTCAAATTATCACTCCCTATCACTCACTAGCATTTGTTGGCTGGTTAATTCACTCAAGGAGCCCTTCACCAGTGTCAACTGTATTCTTTAAAATCCCTCCAAAATTTTCCTTGTATGAGAAGAGGTGACACAGGGCAGAGGGAGGCAGCAGTTAATGGTCTTTGGGAGGCTGGTTCCCACCCACTTTAGAGACCAACATGACCGAACATGAGATCTGAACTGACGCCAGCCTGTTCACTTGTGTCTGGCAAGGCCAGCTGGCACACCATGGAAATGTTCTGTACAGAAATCCCCCAGGATCTCAGCATTTGGATATTAGGAAATGGACAGCGGCTTCCCAAACCCATTCTGCCTGAGTCACTTAGCATCCTAAGGCCACTGAGTATGACTTGAACAGCTGTATCCAGCTGCTGGAGACAAACCCCCAGGAAAAGTGGTGGGACTAAAATCATGGGAATAACATAATGATCCAGTTAAGGCCCCCAAACCTCAAATGCTGACTCCAACCTTGTGGGCTCTGCATTAGCATTAATAATGATTTCCTAAAACCACTCAGTGGTTTAGATAGCTAGCTGCATCTCATTGAGAAGTCAACTCCCTTTGCCCAGAATGTATACTTATGACACTTAGGCAAATGATCCTTAGCAAGCTAAGGTCTTTAAACTGGCTGGCTGAAAGGGCAGTACTCCCCCTGGCTGAAGGATATTTCAAGGAGGAGTCATGTGAGCAGGGTAAGTGACCATAACAAACATTAACATTAAATTAATGGAATTCAGTCCAAGTCGGGTGACCACTTAAAGTCTATTTCCAATATATGGTCCTTTTAAATAGAAAGACATCCTGTGTAAGTATAGGAATTGCAGTTTAATTAAAATTTTACCTCAGGCTTTATGTCGTACAAAAGACAAGCAGAGTCTTTGTCTTGGGGTGGATTTTCTCAAAGGAAGACATGGAGACAAAGGTTTGAGTGAAGTTCTCAATTTGAAAGATCAGCCCAGGAAACACCAGAGGGGAGCAGGGAAGTGAGACAGGGAAAGGAAGGCAGCCCGTACAGGGTGTGTTAATGAGCGAGTTCCACCGTGGATAATCAGGGCTCAAAGACACTGGAGACCTCTGGGTTTAGGGCACAGAATCTTGCCATCCAATACAACATATTGCCAATGAGTACTGTGAAAATGTGGCTAGTCAGAATGGGAATGGGAATATAAAATACAAATTTTGAAAACTCAGTCTGAGAAAAGAATGTAAAATAGCAGAGTAATACAATTTTTATATGGATTATATGTTGAAATGATACTATTTTGGACATACTGTTACATAAAATGTTATTAAATTAATTTCACTTGTTTCTTTTTACTTTTTTTAGTTGGACAACTGGTAAATCTGAAATTACACATGAGGCTTACATTATATTTCTACTGGATGGTGTTGGAACAGAATATGTGTGTGCAGGGCTGTTGGTCAGCTAGCCCTTGTCCATCGTGGGATGAGCGCTGCACCAGAGAAATGAGCTCCCTGGTACAGAGCTCCCTTTCATCACCAGAGAGGGGCAGTCCCCTGGGAGGCTCAGGAATGGTCCTTAGAAAGCTGCTGGTATTGCAAACCAAGAGTGAGCATCATGGGGAGGCAGGTGGGGGCCCCACAGCAGTTGTTATGGCCCCCCACCCCTTCCTTCATTCTATTTCTGATTTTCAGATCTTCCCTAGATTTCTCATGCCCTCTGAATCCATTTTCCTGGGGAGGCCACAAGACTTCAGATGTGGCTGGACTGGTAAGAATAGACTAACGATATGGTCACTGTTCCAGTGAACAGTGATGAAGGAAAGGAACTGCTGTTATTTCTCCATAAACACAGAAGGAGGTTGGGTGTGGGGGTTGGGGGCCGGGGCGGGGGAGAGTAAGGTTTAACCTAACAAGGAGAAGGACAATTTTAACCAAACCTTACCCAATGAGATCACTTGCTTCAGAATTTAAAGAGGTCCCTGTCAGTGGACCTGCTCAGACTGAGGCTGGCAGTGATTCAGGGAGGAAGTTCTGGCATCGAATAGGAGGCCACATCACACCACTTTAAGATTCTGGCCCCATTTCACACCTAGAGCAGTGTAGTTGCTGAAGTGGGGAACTCTCATGCCATGGAATTAAGTCCTATACCTTTCTAATATCTCTTAGAATGAGAGAGAAAAAACCAATAGTCTATTGAGTGTTTACTAAGGTCCAAGACATATTTCAGGTATGAGATCTCATATTAATCCCAACAAGACTGCATGGTGAGAGTTAATGCCCCCAGAGGTGTAAACCGAGGCTTATAGAGAAAACTCTTACCCAAAGTTAGTAAGAGAAGCTAGAACTGAATCCAGGCCACTGCTTCATGCACTCAGTACCAACCATATATTGAGTGGCCACCTCAGGCCAGAGCCAATGTTTTTAATCTCTAGATTTCCCTCATCAAATACTGCTCTTTATTGACAAGTAGGCAAGCATCTTAGTTTCTGACCATAAAAACAATATATTATATGTGTACAGAATGTGTTTTCCAAAGATGGCCACAGAAATTTTTCAGGCCCTACCTACTCGCTGCTCCCCATCAGAAGACTGAGCCTGGGTGGGCTTGAGAATGACTGTTCTAAAGAAAAGAGTTTGGCCAAAGTAACTCTATGGGACTCCTGAGGCTGTCTTAAAGAAGGGTACAGATCCCTCTGGCCCACTCATTCTTCCAGAGAAACCAGTTTGGAATCTGACTGTCATGCTTTAAGGAAGCCCAGGCCACACCAAGAGGCCATGTACAGGTGTTTCAGAAAACTGTCGGTCACGTCTCAGCTGATAGCTGATACTAATCAACAACCAGATGTGTAAGTAAATGAAATTGCAGATGATTCTAGTCCTTCACTGTTGAATCTTCCTACTGAGGTCTCCAACCTCATAGAGCAGTATATCAAGTCACCCCTGCTGTGTTCTGTCTGAATCCTGACTCACAGGTCATATGAGCATCATAAGTAACTGTTTTAGCCACTCAGTTTTGAGGGTGATATGTTACACAAGTCTGTTAATGATAACATCATGTTCCATTTTTACCTAAGCTGTCAGGAAGCTCAAAGTCAAGTTAAATGTTGTTTAATATTACTGTACAGTAAAACTACAGTAATTGTACTAGCCAAAGGAGTTAGCACAGCTACTGCCTTATTTTATGAACATACATTTCTATTTCATTAACCTTATTTGTCTCCTAAATAAAGGTGAGGTATACATAAACAAAATGATCCTGGTCTATCTTTTACTAATAAAATCAGAAATTCAGTACCTGAATCTTCTTTCATGTCAACATCTTCTTCTTTATTACCATCTATTAAAAAATTAAGAAAAAACAAAGTGAAGCTCACATGAAAGCTAGAAACACCAAAATTCTCCAATTTGATTAATAAAAAAACAAAGGAAAAGAGTAGGAAAAAGAGTTGAATTATTCATTTCTGCTGTCTTATATTACCATGCTAGATTAGGAAGGCAGTGTATTCATTAAAGTACAACTTAATAACCAGGGTTTACATTTCCTTTTAAAAATTATTATATATAAACTATATATACAATAATTTGTTTTACTTATAAAAGTGATGCACGGACACTTTGGTCATTTCAAATAAAAAGGACAGACTTTAAATGCCATGTTTTCAGCATTTATTAAAGGTATGCATATTTACCTCGAATAACTGAGAAATGTGGGCATCACAATTTGGTTGTAGGCTGACAATATCCGCTCCTTACACTGCAAAAGTGCACGTTTGCTGTATATGCAAATCCAAACCTTTAACCGTGTACTTTCAAGTGTCCCCACCACTTGCCCCAGTCCCATTTAGCTCCGCTCATCTCATTGCCTAGCATAATCCCCTTTAACTGGACAAGGACTTGTGCTTCCTCTGCACTTCCGATGACCTATTTGCTTTTTGGAAATTTTTGTGTTGTCATCTCTTCTCCTTGATTGTTCCTCACATCCAAGCAGTGCCAAATCCTGTCCTTTTTTCCATGTTTTCTCCTCTCTACTCACATATTTCAACCCAGATTCATCTATCAGTGTTATTTGCCTTCCTTATTTTGTGATTTCCTAAGTGGTCTTTTCTTCTTTCTGACTCCAATTCCTTTAACACATTGCTGCCAAATCAGTCTTAAAATAGAGCTCTGATCTGCCTCAGGACCATTCAGTGACTCCTCTCAGCCTAATGAGAAAAGCTTAGACTTTGGAGTAACTCTCAAGACCAACAATACCTGGTTCTGACCACTTCTCTCAGTTTCATCCGCACTGTTCTATCGCCATGCAGACACTTGACTCTTCTCTATTTTCTTAGGTCTCGTTTACCTGCCTCTACCTGCCTCAGTCCTGGAAGCAATGTCTCTCTCCATCTCTGTTCTCTTCTCCTTCCAGGCCAACCTGAAGCACCACAGCATCTGCTCCACCGAGTCTGAGTGAATAGTGTTCTCGTTCATGTTCTTATTTTTAATGCCTTCTGAGTATCAACTTTAAGGACCTCTGGGCTTAGGTCTGTATCCTGGTTCCTCCACCCATTCATTTACCAGGCATGTGACCTTGGAGATGTTACCCAGAATTCCTGAGTTTGGGTTCATCAGCTGTAAAATAGGATGATAATAATACTTCCTGCACAGAACTGTTCTAAGGATTAAATGACTGAAACATCAAGTGCTAAATATTAGTTATTATTACCATCAAATTCTACAGTCTAGTTACTTGTTAACATATCTGTTTTCCATATGCCTATCCCTAGAGTTAAAATAATTAATAAATCCTGCAAAGAGCATGTCTTATGTCTCTTTGTATTTCCTGGCATCTAATGCAATTGATTTTATACACTAGAATAAATTCAGAAGTTTCTACTGACTTGAATTTCGGAGTTCTTTTTTTGTTGTTTTTGTTTTTGTTTTAGTTTTCTCTAATGTTTTATTAGTCAACCTGGAGAATTCTTGTGTTTGTATTTCCTATGTCTCTTCTACATATTAGGCAGCATATTTATAAGATGGTTGCAAGCAACAGGGACTCAGTAAAGACTTATAACTTCCTCCTGGACATGTGCTTTAGAATGTAGTCATTTATTGGCCAAATTTATTCAGCATGATATTCTTCTAAGTGTTAATTACTAATGGAGATTAAAGATGTATTAGTCAGTAGAAATGGAAAATGTATTTACTTTGAGGTTTTAGAAAGGTAATAGCTAACTTTTAAAGAAATCAATTTTCTTCCATTCAAATTGTTAGAAACATTAGTGATTTTCTGCATAATTTCTTTCTTTCATTCTTTCTATGCATACAGTTTTGGGAGGAAAAATATCTATTTCTTAGAAATATAATTTCTAACCAAATGATTATCAAAATGTTACAAATTGTTTCCTGAACTTAACATATTTAAACAGAATTTTGTTTTTCAGAACCATCTAAAATATTTCAAACCATCTCTATGATAACAGATTCTCTGAAATCTTAGAGTGGGATGAATAAGTCTCTTCAGTTTCTGGAGAAAGACAAAGAATCAACAGTCTCTTTGCTTGTTACCATGTGTCCATCTGTCCTTCTGGCAAACACTCATTGGTAGTCCATTGTGTACAAGGTTTTGTGTTTGGGGGAATAGAAAACGCCAAGGTGAATCAAGCACTTAAGCAGTTGTCCAGAAACGTTTCATTAGTAAGGAAACTAAGACATACGAATAAATTTGAACTATGGTAGAGAATAAGCAGAGCCATTACAAAAGGTGTCAGAGGAGGAGTAGAAGCTTCCACTTGGATCCTGGGAAGGATTTTTGGAAAATGGACATTAGAGTTGATATTTGAACTTTATGGACTGAACTGATAGCATCATTCCCAGAATGTCCTGCAGGTGTTAAAGGATCAGACTTGGTGGTATTGTTCATTCATTCATTCATTCACTCACTCGTTTATTCATACAGTAGTTAAGAGTATATTTAGGACCTGGATCCAGACTGCTTGGGCACACTTCCAGGAAGAACCATAAAGCTGTGCAATCTCGGGCAAATTATGTAAATGTATACATCAGCTTCCTCATCTGGAAAATAGGGATCATAAAAGTACCAACCTTCCAGAGTTAGTAATACATATACAGTACATACACAGAATAAGCATTCAATAAATACGGGCTATTACTGTTATGGTATCATTACTATTACTACTTTTACTGCTTAACCATTTTTTGATCAGCACCGTCTGCTGGAACTATGCAAGGGCCCTGAAGATACAAGTAGATATTCCCTTCCCTCAAAGAGCTCACAAAGAAGTGGGTAGTTTCAAAAATAAAACAGCAATCAGAAGTGGAAGTAACGGATTCTCTGGTGCAGATAAGCAGAGGTTCTATTGGAAAACAGACAAGAGAAAGCTAAATCAGAGAGAAGGCCTAGGAAGGTTTCTGAGAAGAGATGAGGTGAGGCATCAGCTGAGTCCTAAAGGGTGAGTTGGACTTAACTGGGGGAAAATCAAGGCTGCAGTACATTCCCAGCTGATGTGGGTGCACTGCCTACACCTCTGGTTCCTCCACACTTCTGTGTTTGCCAGGCTGACTACCATCCACCAGCCCCTAGGTCTCTGCCTGAGGGCCTCTCTGAGTTGCTAGAGCCCACCCACTCCAGAAATGTTAGGGAAAAACACCCCCCACAGAGGG